CCCCGCCCACGGGCCCGCCCCTCCGGCCGTAACGCCGCGAGTAGCGGCGCACACAGCCCCCCCATCGCCCCGCGTCACCTCAGGCCCCCGTCGGGCCAGGCCAGGCCCGGCCTAGAAGCGGGGTGTTCGCCGGTTAAAAGGGGATTCCTCAGGGAAATTAAACACCACCTGTAAATCCTCATTACATTCTAAAAACTTCCCGTCTGTCTCTGAGGGGTTTCCCTGCGGGCTGGCTGTTCCTGTGGCTCCCTCACCGAGTTGCTGCCCAGCCAGCCTGAGGTTGGGCGTCCCCATCGCCTGACACCTCCTCATCAGCCTTAGCCAGCTGGGGGTCTCATAAGGAGGGGGAAAATAATGTTTAAAAAGGGAATGAGAAGATGATCTCTGTGGTGGAACGTGGCTGGGACGTGCGGGCAGGGCGTGACAGGCTGAGGGAGGCATGGCCGGTCGCCATTTTGATGTGGATCGGCCTGGGCTTTCTTTCCCCCTGCTCCAAACCAGTATTTGCACCAATTCAGAGCAACCATCATCATTACCAATCATCGTAATGATTTTCCCAGCCAAAAATAGCATCTTTTCGATACTGGGTTGCCCAGAGAAGCTGTGGCAGCACCATCCCTGGAGGGGTTCAAGGCCAGGCTGGATGGGGCTTGGAGCAACATGGTCTGATGGGAGGTGTCCCTGCCCAGGGCAGGGGTTGGGAACTCCATGATCTTCAAGATCCCTTCCAACCCAAACCATTCCATGATTCCATTATTAGAATCAGAAACCGAATCAGAAACCAAATCTGACCGTGCAAGGCACCAAAACCAAGCTACCTCTTCCTTTCCAGATTCACTCCACCATCACAAGTCCATTTGCTGAACAGAGCTCAGGCAAAATGCGACTGAAAAAGCAAGGTTTGGGGGGATGACTCACCGTCTCAGAATCCATAAAGAAAGTGGAAAAAGGGAAAATAAATATCTAACATAAGGGTGCAATTTCACTGCAGCTTTTAGCAACTGCTGATATCATAAACCATAATGTAAGAGTCTGGCTGTCTAGTCATCAGAACATCCTAGCAGAGCTCCATATGTTACACGTACATACACTTTGTACATTAACATTTATTTGGGTGAAGTTAACTTCCGTCATGTATTTAGAAAAGATTGCATTACTGTCAATGAAAGAAGCAATCTGTAAACCTGTGACGGCACGAGAGATATTAGTACATTTTAGAGACTTGTAAAAACAGCATGAGTCTTCAGAGACAATGATGTGATTCAGAGCCAGATTTCTTACTCAGTTCAGAGCTTCTTTTTTAACCTATATTTATGATAGACTTCCAGCTCTTGTGTTATGGAGAAATAGATATTTTTTCCTCTCTATTTTAGTGGAAAGGACTAGAAGTGTGTTTGTAGAGGGAACAAAAGAACACAGGAATCTGTCTTTGCTTATGTGAATAACCAGCTGTGCTGGTTTTGTATATACAGACCATGTGATGGAGCGTTGGCACAAAGGGCCTTGACTGTTTAATGTTTCTAAATACTATAAGTGTTATCCATATAAAGTAGCAGTTTTGCTGCATTTAGCTGTATTGGCATTGAAATTCTTCTTTTACATGAAGCTGCTGGGCTTTCAGAGTGGCCCTGGCTGGCACCAGGAACATGTCTCAGGTTAAAATCAGCTCCTTTGCTTCTGCCCCTGGAAGGAAGGTGAGAGATTTCTGGTAGAAAGAGGAGGAGGAGGAGGAGGAGGAGGATGCCCTGCTCACTAAGCCAGGGGCCAGGAAGAGGAGGAAGAAATGGCTGGAGGTGGCTTTTTAACATCTGATTCTACCAGTCCAGGTTGATGTTCCTTCAGCACAATCCCAGCTGGCACTTAAAGAGCTATGACATGGAGATCTGGTTTAAAACCAGAAGTATCAGGCATTCTGTGAGTGCTTCAAGCCCTTACCTTCCTTAAAAGCAGAGTCAAAATCCTTCTGCAGAGAGCTTGGCTGCCAAATGCACACACAAGTATTTTAGGATGCCCCCTTGTTTCTCATATTACAGGGCTTTTGTCGGAGACCTCAGCAGAGGAAATGTTAAAACGATCTAAGAGCACTTACATAGTGCAGTATAGTATTTCCCATAAAACAATGCATTGAGTCAGGACGGAGGAGGGAGGGATATGTCTGGATAACAGAACTCAACCTGACCTCAGTGTAGCTCAGGTTTCCCCCTGAAACTGTAGCTAAAAAGTACACGTGTAAAATGACCTCGTACATGAACAAATTCTAAATTTAGCTGTGTGTCTGTTGCTCTTCCTTTGTTGTTTTTTTTTTTTATGAATGAAAAAATAATCACACCAGATCCTAGAAGAGCAAGAATGGGAGCCAAAAAGCAAGAATGGAAGCCAAACAGCAGGGCATGCCAACAACCAGTTTGTGCTGTTCAAAGATGCAGCCAAGAGTCTGACCACTGTCTTTACATCTACCATAGCTAGAAGATCATGCTATGCTATGGAAGTGGTGTCTGCTGAAGTATCACGTAATTATAAGTCTTCCTTTAGCATGTACACAGACGGGTCTTACAAGCCAAGGATTTGGTGCACCAAAGGAAATACAAACTCCATTGTTGGTGATGGGCAGAAGCAAGGGAACTTCTTGTCCAGTTTTGGGCCCCTTACCACAAAAAAGACATTGAGGTGCTGGAGCGGGTCCAGAGAAGGGCGACAAAGCTGGTGAGGGGTCTGGAGAATAAGTCTTATGAGGAGAGGCTGAGGGAGCTGGGGGTGTTCAGCCTGGAGAAAAGAAGGCTGAGGGGAGACCTTATTGCTCTCTACAACTCCCTGAAAGTCGGTCTCTTCTCCCAAGGAACAGGCGATGGGACAAGAGGAAACCTCCTCAAGTTGCACCAGGGGAGGTTCAGACTGGATATTAGGAAAGATTTTGACACGGAAAGGGTTATTAAGCCTTGGAATGGGCTGCCCAGGGAAGGGGTTGAGGCACCATCCCTGGAGGAATTTAAAAGACGGGTTGACATAGTGCTTAGAGACATAGTTTAGTGATGGTTTTTTCATCAGAGTTAGGTTGATGGTTGGGCTAGATGATCTTTCCAACGCAGACAATTCTATGATTCTATTATTCTGGCATGAGCGAGAGGGTGGGTGCAGGACTCGGGTGAGTCTCCCTGGCATGAGCGCGAGGGTGGGTGCAGGACTCGGGTGAGTCTCCTGCCCTGTGGGGTCAGACCTGGTGTTTCTCGGTCACTCTCTGGTACTCAGCTGACAGCCAAATCACAGAGCAACTGCTGATAGCAATATTCCTAAGGATTCATCAGGAAGCCATCCTGAATCAACACCCCTGAGTGTTAGAGAAACATGGTCCATCACCAGGAAAAGGTGTCAGTAAGATGCAGGGTTGGCCAAACACGGGAAAAAGGTTACCTGGTCGGACAAACCCACCTCACTGGGAACAAACTGGGGTACAATTTCCTCTTCAAATGATGCACTGTGCACAGCAACGATGGAAAGCTACGCCAGGTTATTGCTCATCCCCAGACAGCCCAAACAGCCCGCTGCAGACAGTGTTATTCAAGATTGCACCCCTTGAGGACACCAAAGTGCAACCGAGAGAAAGGAAAGGATGGGATTTTTGTGTTAAACTCCGCTGCAGAGGAGCTGGAGGCGAGCGAGTGTGAGATCAACCCCCAGCGTGCGGATGGGAGAGGTCTGTCAGGCAGAGCGGTAGCTCCAGCTGTCCCTGTGCCAGGTTTGGGGAAACTAAAGCTGGATCCGTCGGGAAGGCGAGCCCCGGGGAGGAATCCGACAGCTCGTGTTCCTCCTTAACGTAATTATGGCAGAGCCCAGCCTCGCTGGCAGCGCTCTCAGCCGTGCCCCGCTGCACGTTCACAAGGTCATTTAAACTTCTGCAAACAGAGGAATAGCTAGTAATTGCCTGACCGGCTTATTTTAAACTGCCTGGGTGCACCCGTATAGAATTAGAGGTGTCTGACTGCAGGGAGGGAAAAAGGCACATGTTCTCTCCTTCTTCTTTAAAATGACACTGCCCGTATTTTAATTAGAATTTCCAAATTGTCCAGGGATGCCCAAAAGAACCAGGGGATAGAGGGATGCAAATTGTAGCCCTTGCTAAGCGTTGGAGGGGCTTGGAGGGAGTGAGGCAGCTTTTATAAATGATGTTCTGTTATTCTGCTCCCAAGTTTATCTGTGAGCATTTAATCATGGAATGATGGAATGGTTTGAGTTGGAAGGGACCCGAAAGATCATCCAGTGCCACCCCCTGCCCTGGGCAGGGACACCTCCCACCAGACCAGGTTGCTCCAAGCCCCCTCCAACCTGCCCTTGAACCCCTCCAGGGATGGGGCAGCCACAGCTGCTCTGGGCAACCTGGGCCAGGCTCTCACCACCCTCACACCAAAGAATTTTTTCCTAATATCTGTAAATCTCCCCTCTGTCTTAGGGCGGGCAGCTCTGCGAAAGCGCTGAGCAACTGCAGCCCCGATCTTTTACACTCATAGGAGGCTCTGTCCCATCTGAAACATTTTTAAAATCTTATCCACGTTCTATGCTTTTTTAATCAAAGTTTGGCCCCCTCCTCAGCAGATGACTAAGCTCTTTTGTAAACTTGGCTACAGCGACGATGAATCACTCTCTGCTCCCTCTTTGAACTAAAGGAGAAAATATCCCAAGTCTCCGGAGCCCGGGGGAAGGTGCCGATACCCGCAGCAAAGCTCAGCAGCAGCCCCGGCTGTGGCAGAAGGACACGTTCCCATCTCCCTTTGTCACCACAGCCTG